GGGGTTAGTGGGACTCGTTCCGTCTTTACACGGTCCCCGACAAGATTGATGGCAGTCGGGCCACTTGTGTCGTGGTGGCGTGGCTTTGCGACTCATTGTGTCACCTGCAATTGCCATTTGGTAAACCCAGTAACTGGTGGTTCTCGCAAGGGGAAAGGGGAAATGGAGAAATGACTGACTGCGACTAGAGAGGAGGCGTTTAGACAATCCTTACCTGAGATTCCTGTATCCTTTTCGTACTATAAGCACACTTTCTTAAGCGATTCGATTTGGATAACCAAAGCTTTGTATTTCTGTTATCTTAGTTTTAAACTAATCATTTGCGTTAAAAGCACTTGTTTATAAATACATACATAACATATGTATATAACTACATAGAATATGTATAGTTTTCCTGAATAGAATCGGCCAAAGAACCATTTATTGTTTGAAAAACATTTTTGGCTCCGAAGAAATCTAAGATAAAAATTAGATCACAATATTCGTATTATTTAGCCTTGTCTTCTGGATATAATTCGCAATATAATAAACTTGGAAGCCCCTCATGGGGGCCTAGTGTTCATGTGTACATATGTAACTTGTAGCCTGGCGACCCCATCAGAAGTTTAACTGAGAAGAAAGAGAAGCTTGTTGCCCCTCAAATAATAGATGCATCCTATCTCATATTACTTATGTGGATTGTGGAGGATATCTAGCCGTCTCCTTTCGAGAAGTGTCTAATTTTTCACCTGCACTTGAGCTTGAGATGAATTCAAATCGGAATTTGGTGACCCCGACAATAGTTTCGCGTTCAGTTGGGAGTTATAGCTGACTTGAAGGATAGTTGATGTGGGTTGTGTACTGGATTCGCAATCGACTTTACCTGCAGCCCCCACAGATGGCGCAGATGCTTCCACGATGGCAATGACAATGCCGTTGGCTAATGGAACTGGGAATGGGAATGGGATTGGGATTGGACTCGCACTGCCACTGAGACAGAGACTGACACTCAGACTGAGACTAGGACTGGTACTGGGACTGGGACTGGCAGTTGTTATGTGGTTATCTGGCCAATGCCATATAAGTCGAGAAATGCGCAGTTAGGCAATCAATGGCCAACGATCCAGCGACGCTTCTTGGGCTCCGATTGTGGCAGAGGGAATCGCAACTGCCATCGGAATCCGCAATGGCACTGGCACTGCCACTGCCAATGTCTGTGGATCTATCTGGCTGTGGCAGAGAAGCTGTAGCTGTGGCAACGTGTGTGTTATGATTGGCAACGGTTTGTTGTTTGGCTGCTTACTGAGTGAGTGGCTGCCTGCCTGCCTGCCTGCCTGCCTGCCTGCATGCCTGCTTGGTAGGTTGGTCAGTTGCCTGCTTGGATTGGTCAGAGGTGCCGCCTCAGACTGTGACCAGCCGGCGGAGCAAATACCGTTTTGCTGAATAAATACAAAAACAAACGCACAAAAACGCAGACAAACAAGTGGGGAAAGCCTACAAAACGGTACCCGACCTATAGATACCGCCTAAGCAGACTTAGTTCTTTAGTAAAGTTTTTGTTTCAAAAGCAAACCATAAAATAATTATTTGTACCTTTAACACATCATTTTAGTTGGTTTTGAACAATTTGTACTATTCTGAACTATGTAGAATTATTTATTTAACAGATTTCTTGAGGAGTGAGGACAGTGACAGTGACAGTGACAAACACCTCAGACCATAGGATACGCCTTCGCGCTCAAAAAATACCCTGTAACTCGTAGTACCAGCTGAAGTTGAAGTTGAAGTTGCAGTTGGTGATGCGACGGCACTTGGAATGCGTTTAGTCCACCCCACCACACCACCACCCCTCAGCCCCGCCCCGATCTGCCCGTTTGTGGCAAATGCTAGGAATGTTAATGCAGCCGCCGCCTGCCTTGGTGACAAGAACAACGCAGATGAAACAGGAATGAGCACAAACATTTACCTAATCCATTTCCAATGTGGCCTGCTCCCGTTCCCGAGCCCGAGCCCGATCCCGATCCTGATTCCCATTCCCAGACCCGTTTCTTGCCCCATCGGGGTGTCATCTCATCTCATCTGGTTTCTGTTTTTTCATGTTTTTGTTTGTATGTGTACATTTTTGTGCTCTTTTTTTTGCTTTACTGTTCCTCTTAATGGGTATAAACTAATCCTACTTAGAGCTAATTGCCAAGATCGGCGTCGTTGTGGCCGTCACTATGGCCGTTGCCGTTGCTGAGGGCGTCGGCGTCGGCGTCGTCACTCTCTTGGGACGCGGCTTCTCGGGCAGGAAGTAGCCCAGGCTGCAGAGGAAGATGACTAGGCCGAGCAGAGCCCAGAACACGGTGTCGCAGCTGGAGAAGAGCAGACGACCCAACACATTGCTGCCAACCACCGCCCCGAGGCGACCCACCATCATGATAAAGCACATGCCCATGGCGTTGATGTTCGTGGGATAGAACTCCATGGCGATGGTGCTCACCAGACCGCCGCAGTTCCCGATGGCCATGACCACGGTCAGGCCGATTACCACAAGAGCGAACTGCTCCACATAGTGCAGGCCCACCAGGCAGATCATCGTCAGAGCCATCCACCCCACTGAAAGCAAAGAACCACAAAAAGAAAAAGGGAGATGTGAAAAATGAAGAGAAAGAAACAAATTAAGCTTCTAGAATGTAGACCCAATGCTTATGGATACTCTGCTTACGATATGCTTTCGATACTCACTTAATAGGTTCTTCTTCCCCGTATAATCGATGATGTAGGCGAATACCAGATAGATCCCTGTGAACGAGGCCCCAATGATGATCATCACCTGGTATGTATTTGTGTCGACCTCCACGGCACAGGCCTGTGCAGCGTCCCCGCCTTCCTGCGTATCCTGCGCATCAAACTCCTCCAGCACTTGGCAGAGCAGCGTTGCCTGTCCGCCCCGCGATCCCAGCTCATCAAGAATAGTGGGGAACCACATGAAGATGCCCTGCGCCATGCCGTAGATGAGGAACTGGATCGTGCAGATGTTCAGTGTGTGCACCACCCTGGAGCGATAGAAGAGCGGCACTGTCTGGCGCCACACGAGTCGCACGGCGTCGCCCAGCCCGTGGACATCCGACAGACTGGCCCCGCCGCTCTCCAGTGCAATCTCCCGGACAGGGTACTCGGAGCAAGGCTTGCGCGTGTTCTGGGTGAACATGATTTTAAGGGTTTCCAAGGCTGCCTCGCCCTGGCCCTGAACCAGCATGTACTTGGGCGTCTCAGGCAAGGTGGAGAGGCCCACGAGGGCAAGCAGCGAGATGGAAACGTTGGCGATGAGCAGCACGCGCCACGAGGAGAAGCGCATGCCCAGGACAATGGTTTCGATACGAACAGGGAGAATGCCGATGGCCATGGCTAAAAAGAGAGGGAGATAGGAGACACCAGATGGGTGACCAGGTGGTCCAGCAAATGAGAACAAAAGTGCTTACCTGGTGCAAAGATCATGGATAAACAGAGAAAGCCCGAGAGCAGGGTCACATGCCGCACCCTCGAACCGCTGCCATGGAACTCCCCGCATAAGCTGAAGACACAGGCCTGACCTCCGGAGATGAAGAAGCCCGTGAGGAATCGGAAGACGATCAGCATCCAAATGTTCACTGAGAAGCCCGACACAATCGAGCAAACGGCGGCGAGAAAGAGGGCATACCGGAGAGTGGTCACCCTGCCCCAGGTGTCCGCGAGGAAGCCCATGCCATGTGAGCTAAGCACCACGCCCAGAAATCCCGCCGAGGCCAAGATTCCCTGTTGGTTGAGCGTAGGCTGGAGGTCGCACTTCATCTGGTTCATGATCAGACTGACGCCCATGATCTCCACCATCACGGACATGAAGCAGAGGCCGCAGATGAGCAGCAGCTTGTAGTGGAAGCGCCCGACTCCCGTCATCGTGATAGCCTCCTCGAAGCTGTGTGGCCTGGGCTTCTCTGCCTGCTTCTCGGGCTTCTCCAGGCCACCTCCACCTCCAATGGCTGCAAAATATATCAAAGGGGATCAGATCAGTCAATCATCAGTCAGCTTAAGTGTCAACCGAACCTATTTGCATAATTGGAGGCGACTTTAACTGCAGTTTAAATAAAGATTCCGCTTTTTCACTTCTCAGTTCGATAGGAACGATGGCCGGGAAAGCCTCGAACCCAAAGGAGAAGGAGACCTCCGCACCAGAGGACGATGTGTGCCTGCCCAAGGAAGAGCCGCCACCCGCCTTCCTCGAGTCAAAGACCTTCCGCCTGATCTCCATCGTCCTCTATTTGGGCGGCATCAGCGGTCTGGGCATGGTCTTGGCCCTCTACTACCTAATCTTCTTTGACTCCAGTATGCCGGACATCCATCTGAAGTTCCCAGTCTCCATTGGCGGCCATCCAGTGCAGAAAGTGCACGAGTACCAATGAACTACTAGTACTACCGTAGAGGTGAGTCTGAGTCTGGGATGTGGAAGAGGGAATGGGCAACGGGCGACGGGGGGCCGACTGGACGTCATCCCCCAACTGCCGGCTAATTGGATTTGCCAAAGGCAGACACAGAGCAAAAGCGGTATTCTGCTGGAGAAACTCGACAAGTGAATCACCTGGAATGCATCAGCTCTAGATGATGACCGCACGTTTACTTACATTGCATTTGGTGATCAATTTGAGGATCGATTTGGGGATCGATTTGAAGATCACACGAAATACATGTGATTATTTTGAACTTTTAGGGGTTTTAGACTAGATTTCTTGGATTAGATGGAGGAAAAGGATCTAGAGAAGCACTGGCTGGGCCGATGGGTCTGGTCATGACGCTGATGACAAATCAAACCAGGTCAAGTGGCTGCCAAAGAGGGCCCCCGTTAGCACGTGATGACGAATCTTATTAGCATGGGGGCCAAGACGCTGGCCCAGGCCCAGGCCCACCGAACCGACTAAAGAAACCGCAAAACAACCGAGCGGAAAGCGAAGCCACCCGAGTGGTTCGAACAGTCGGTCAATTGTACGGTCAATCAGTACGCCTCCAGAGCTTGCGTAGTTTCGCGTGGTTCGCGCTTCGAGTCATGTCCGCACCATCGATGATGTCCAGCCTGGCCGCCGTGGTCAAGGAGGCCAAAGACGAGGAGATACAGGTGCCCAAGTCCGATGACTTCTTTGAGTCGAAAACCTTCCGGCTGCTCACGCTGATCCTCTACATGGGCGGGGTCAGCGGCATGGGCTTGACCCTGGCCGCCTACTATCTGTTCATCTGGGACTCGCGCATGCCGCCCCTGCCTGTGTTCAAGCATACGCATCCCATCGGCTAGGAAGGGAGGGGGAGTCGAGTCCATCCGAACTGCCTCCTCGACTGCCATCATCATCATCAGTGACCAGATTGGGTGAGTCTCAATGGGCCACTGCCCTCGCCCTCAGGTTGTATGTGTGTGCGTGTGTGTGTGCGCCTTCTCGCCCTGCCCTTTGGGAGGGATTAATTAGTGCGCCGGGCCCGATATCAAAAGTTGACAGCCACGCACAAAATTAATCCGCTTTACTACGTGCCCCTAAATCGCAGAGTCGGGAGAGACGAGACGGTAGCCAGGGATAGTCCGGCATTATGCTAGCCGCGTGCCGATTTTGATTTAATCGCCGGAGACATCAAATCAGTAATAGAAGCGCCGCACGGCGAGCCGGGCTAGAGGCCGTCATGTCCACAATGTCCGCGTCCGCGTCTTCGTCTTCGTCTGTGTGTGGTGCCGCCACTTCAAGTGGAGCAGGAAATGCTCTGGGAGCCGCCACTAGCATTGCCAATCTGGCAAAGATTGTGAACATCATAGAGTCTAATGTGAGGGCAGACGACTGCGACGAGGAGGAGCTTGAGGCCTCAAAGGCGCCCACCAGCGGGAGCAGCGTTCGCCTGGCCAGCAGCAGTGCCCCCCGGAGGAGCACCTGTTCGTATGTGCCGAAGTCACCACAGCTGGAAGAGATCGTGTTCGCGAAGCCCACCTGCACAGAGCGCTTGGCACGCTACTTTGTCATCGTCATCTATCTGTGCGGACTGTGCTGCCTGGGCTTCTTTCTGTCTATCTACCACATCTTCTTCTGGGACTCGCGCATGCCGCCCGTCTTCAAGGGGCAGAAGAAGCCCGCCTTCGGCTAAAGCTGCCCTCGATTTGGATATCTCAGAAAAGAAATTTGATTTCGGTAAGCCCAGCCGGACCCTGCAAAATATATTACCCAAAATACGGATTAAATCAATCGACTGTGTCATAAAGATAGGAGTCGTGGAATCCATTTTATTCAATTAATGTCATGGGTGGTTCTCTGTTCGGGGATACCTTTTGAGTATAGGGAGTATAAGGAAGCTAAAGACCTTGACTTTCATCTTTTTAGAGGACAGTTGTAAATACTAGAGCCCTGCATGAACAGGCAACAGAATCGATTCGCTGGGACTCGGTGGGTGGCTTCGTTCGATCAGTTAGAGTCAGCGTCTTAGCTGTCCTTATCCTAGGCTGTACGAAGCAGGAGTCGTCAGATCCGAAAAGTGCACAGCCCGCAGAAAAAGGAAGTCCGTGTCACGTTTTGATTCATTTCAGAGACTGCGGACGAAGCTTGCTGATTTGAATCCGCAGTGCTCCCACTCGGCTCTTCGTTATTCGGAGTGATTCGAATCTGAGTGGAGGGTAGGATTCGCAATGGTCGAAATCATTAAAGAGACATGTGTATAGCAGTGGTTTTATGAATACTGTGGATTCATGCAGGGCTCTGGCCTCCACACTGTCAGCTCTACGATGAATTCAAGTTAAGCTCGGAATTATCGTTCAATTCTGGAACCCGCACTCCTGAAGGTAGTCCTAAGAGTTCCCCTCTTAATTAAATCAAAGTTCAAGTTTCAATTGAAAGGACTCCACTATGTTTGCTCTTTCTTAGTTTATCTTAAGGAAGCTTGTCTCCCCTTGCTCTTTGCGCTACATTGCTCCGTGTTGTCCCTCCTGGACTCGGGTCCCACTGCGCACGCTTCTTAATCAGCTTTGTCGGAACGTCCATATACATACATAAGTAAGCAGAAAGATAAACCGAGTTGTTGGCTCCTTAGTGGTGGCTCCAAGGGTGCAACGTGCAAGTGGCGTTGGGCAGGTGGGCAAGTGCATAGGGTGGCTATATTGCAAGCTGGCGCCCATAATTTTCGAGGCCAGCATGGAAGGCTCCACCTGGCCAACGACAACGAGGAAAGCTCCTTGAGGGCAACTGTGCAACAATGCAAAATGCGAATGGATTTATATATATGTATGTATGTGTGTGTGTGCGTGTGTGTGTGTGCGTTGCAGTGTGCCTGTGTGAGTGTGGCCTACATCTTGGCCAACTTGACGAATATATACACTTACACACTTATATTCAAAATACTAGGTGCAACACTAATAAAACTGCCACCTCTACTTATAATAATGGCTATAATGGTTTGGTTTTCTCTACGTGCCCATTGATTTATAGATGCATTTTCATTTCATTATTTAACATTTTATTATTACTACAAGGCCTTGTTGCTCTTCAACCATGCGTTCACTGATCTGGGATTATTTGGAAGATCCCGACATGTTTGGAATTTCAATGAAGTTAAGCATTTCCTGTGAAGGGGCACTGTTGTTTCCCCCAAATTTTGATATCTCATTCTATTGATTGCAGGGGGGCATCACATAGGATGTTTTCCGATGCTCTCCGGCTTCCTTTCACAGAATCTACAGGTGATGTCTCAGGTGACAGGGCCCGGAAAACATCCCGTTAAAGTTCAGTTTCAACATTACGTTACGGGTCCACTTACTTATAGTATGAATTATAATCAAATTGGACATTCCGTGTTATAGGAGCGATGGATTTGCATTAAAAGCTTCGGAAAGAAGATTGTCACTCCCTCTTGTTGTTGGTTATATTTCGAATATTTTAGCTTAAGACCAAGCTATGGAAGAGTACCTATTCGTTTGACCACAAGTGTATGTGCCAGTGTGCACAGCTTATACAACAAAATCAATGGGCAACATTGCAATCGCTTGGTGTCCGTGTCGGTGTCCGTGTCCACCCCTGTCACCCGTCTCCCTGTTTCGTCTCCACGCCACTGTTCTCTTGCCTGTCGCTCGATTCTCACTGCTCTGCTGGCTCGGCGATTGCAGTCGCTGCCGCCCGCTGTCCTAGTGACCTAGTTGCAGTTCGTTCACCCCCCTGGGCACAAAGCCTAGAGCCCGACACCGAGACCGAGACCGATACCGAGCCTGAGCCCGAACCCGAGCCCGAGCCCGAACCCGAACCGAGACCCGTCAACCAGCGCAAGGCAACGAAAACGAAGGTGTACCAGGGGGGGAGCAGCTTAAGCGAAAGTTGTTGGCGAGGCGAGAGCAGAAAAAAAACATCGGTAGAGCCGTTGCGGCAGGCGTCCTTCGAATCACCTGCGAAGGTTGCCAGCCACTGTCAGTGCTACGCCCCCACATGGTATGGGCAGCGGTATGGGGTATGATTGCGCCTAAAAATTGCAAATTTTCCAGGCTGATTGACTGACTGGCGGGCTCACTGGTTGAATGATTGATGGAAGCGATGCCATCCAACCGCGCAATTTCATTTCCGCAAGAGTTGAGTCATAGGAGTCATGGGGGTGCCGCACTTGACACACAAAACAACGCAGCAGTAGCAGCAGCAGCGAGGGAGAGACGTGCCGACGTGCCCCCACAATGGATGCGGTTTTGTTTGTGGAATTCCAGCTGCCAGTGGCGAGTGCCAGCAGTGTGGCCTGCAACAAAAACCAGGGAGAGAGCGAGAGGAGACTGACTCCTACGCCGCTAAAGCTACAGCTGCAGCAATAGCAGCATCTTCCATTCGCACGAAAATGCAAATGAGAAGCGGCTGGCATTGTCGGGGGAGGGGCAGAGAGCGGGCGGGCGCAAACAGGCATTTTATGAATGAAATTAAATGCGAGGGCGACTGAGGATCGCAAATGAAGTCAAGCGAACAACAGCAACAAAACACTAGCGCGGGCAGCAGCTCAAGCCGATACCGAAGCTGTAGGCAAGGCCATGATGACACGAAGACCAGAGAGAGAGAGAGGGAGAGAGAGAGAGAGAGAGAAACAGAGAAAGAGCACGAACACGAAGCTCCTGCGCTGGCAGGCTGCTGTGTGCTGTGGGTCTCTGCTGCCTGCTCGCTACTCCTCTGCCGCTTTGAGCTTTTTGGCGACGGCGTCGTCATTTCACTTGCATACGCTCGACGCGTCGGTTCGAATACAGTTTTTTGCACGCTGTGTGTGCGCGCTGCCGCTCTTGGTCGCCCCTCTGAAACATTTTTTCTACTCTTGCCGCGACACGTCCCGCTACCCAACAAGGAAGAACAAGAACAAAAACAAGCGAAACGTCAACACGGAATATTGCATTTAAAACAACAGTTGGACTAACGGTCACTGCCAAACAGGAAACCGAAAACGAAACAAAAGCAACATAAAGGGCTGAAACATATCAACCGAAGATACCAAAGATAACCAAAGACAGCTAAAATACAGCATAGAAAGCATAGAATCAAACGGAACTCCAATCAAAAACTTCAATCAAAATGAACTCAAAAGTGAATTCGCTGGAGGAGAAAGTGAAACTGCCGCCCACAGAAACAATAAGTCGCTGCTACCAGCCGCAGCAAAGCAACCGTAAGGTCATCCGCATCCTGACCGTCGCCGTCTACGTCCTATGCGTCTCGCTGGCGGCCATCATGCTCTCGCTCTACTACATATTCATATGGGATCCGACCATCCGGCCGTTTGTTACCAAGGCCAATCATTGCGGTAAGACTAAGACGGGATCAGCGGGACTGGGAGCCCCACTGGGAACCGCAATCAAGCCAACGCAACCCAAACCTAACTGACCCAATCGTATCCTTATTAACCCATTTCATATTCCGAGTATGCCAATTTGCGTTGTGGTCAATCTGCTGGTCAACTGCCCGGACACTGTGGCTTAAATCGAGCTGCGACATGGCCCAAATCCGGGCCGGTGGCAGGGTGGAAGACCATTATCGATGGGGTTGGATGGTTCTCAATGCCCGAAACGGAAGGGCGTGAAAGTTGCACACATTTTACCGCCTCGCTCTCTCGTCCCCTTCTGTCCCTTCGATTTTTGTTCAGTTTTTGTAAATCAACTCGAAATTAGGTCAATGGGGTGTCATGCACACGAGTACATCCCCAACCCCAAGCCACCCTCCAGTCACCCTCACTCTCTCCACACCCACAAAAGGGTGCAGTTTTCCACTGTCTGTGTATGCATTTTCATTTGCAGTTTGCAGTTCAATCAATCTAATTCGGAGCAATTAACACAGAGAATCTCATGCTCGTCTCGAGTGGCATAGGGAGGAGCCAAATAAATGGGATATTATATCAAGGAAAATTAAATTTGCCACAGCAGAAGGCAGAGGGCATGGTGAAGCAAATTTCTTGACCTGCCGGACACAGAGACATACATATGTATGCACGTATGTTTTTATGTATTGGTATGACCTACTATGGGCCCCCAGCTATCGATATGCCATTGGGAGGGATACATATACATATATGTACATACATATAGTATATATCAAAACATAAAAGGGAAATTATAATCAGGTACTACAGAAATCTCTACACTTTGCTGTGTGGTAAAAGGTGTTAAAAAACTTCAAATTCCCTTCTACGTTATTCAAAAATAAATAAATGCAAGTTCTTAACCGGCTGAACACAGAGAATGTACGAGTATGACTCTGATATCATGTCCGCTTGGACAACTTTTTGGAAACACCCCCTCTCAGCTCTAAGATACATGCCGGTATTTCTAAGCAAACCTTAAAACAAACCACAATATAACATTAAGCGGATGATATTTTATTAATCATTTTTAAAGCGGTAACGATAAGACCTCGAGATACTCTCAGTTCTCTTGTTAAAGTTAAAAACTTTAACAAAAAAGAAACAGCTATAGGAACGATAATCAAGTGGCCTTGAGCTGTTTATATTTTGATACCCGCTAGTCGAAGAGTATAGCGGTTTATTGTATTTGTGCTCAAAGTAGATGTGTGTGACACCCAGAAAGAAGCGTTTTCGACCCCGCAAAGTACATATGTATTAATGTGCATGATCAGCATCAATAGCCGATATACATATGTATGTATGTACACTGTGTCTACCCTTCCCGATGAGCGCCTAGATCTCAGAGACTTGTATCCGGATTATCAAGAGTTTGTATCCAGACTCCTCTGATATCACCCTGTTACAGCCACAAGACACAAATGAAATCGCAGGGGCTACGCAACGCCTTCCACGAGCTAACTCATTCTCTAACCTGCTCTCACACACCCTTCCTCGTGCAGTGTGCGGCCCCTGGCAGGAGGGAACCAGATAAAACGGCTGGTGTTGTTGTGAGAGTAGAGAAAAAGAGACAGATGTCCCTTTTTGCAAACAGCGATACAAAACGATTTATAAAATATATTGCATATTCCGCGCGCTTATTATTTATATATATAATTATTGTAATTATAGTTTTTCTTTGAATAGAAATATTTCCTAATTGCTGTTACCGTTTCTTGCAGATAAAATTGTGATACCCGAGAAAATAGCAATTCGCCTACTAAATTCATCGGAAGTCACAGCGGAGCAGTTCTACAAGCACATCCTCGAGCAGTATCGCATCCATAACCACCTGCAACAGCAGCGCCAGCAGTTCCTGCAGAAACAGCACCTCCACCTCCAACAGCTGGAGGCGAGTAACCGCTTCCAGGAGATCTTCGCCACGGCCACCATCATTCAGGCGCATCCGCATCCCAATCCCCGGGAGCCGCTCAAGAAGCCCCTCGTCGTCCCCTCCGCCAATAACAGCAGCAGTGGCAGCATCAGTGACCTTGGAGCCTTCCGCATGGAGCCGCCTGCCCCGCAACCATCTAACATGGAGGAGATGGGCAAGGGTGCAACCACTGGCCATCATTTTCCCATGCTGTTGGACACCTCGCCACCGGCGGACAGCTCCGGCATAGGACACCTAAAGCGCAAGACGCATCGTGGCCACTACAAGCATCATAGGGCGCGTGCGGGCGGGTTGAAGAAGCTGCCCTCCAGCTCAGGCTTAGGTAGCAGTTCCATTTCTAGTTCTGTCACTGCCAGCACCACGTCCGCGGGTGAGCAGCTGGCGGCCACGGCTGCGGCAACAGTACCCCATGGCTACATGGACACGCCGCTGAATCCGGCGGCCGGCACAATCGTGCAGCAGCCACAGCTGCAACTGTACACCTCGATGCCGATACCTTTGATCCTCAGCCCCAGCGAGGAGAAGCGGCCCTCGCACCACGCCCACAACCATGCGCACGGCGAGCGTCGAGGGGGGGCGCAGGCACGCAAGAGGACCACCACCGCCTCTGTCTCCGGTTACGACTCCCAGACGTACCTCAATCCGTTCCTCACCGGCGAGCTGATCTTCGAGAAGTAAGCGGAGCCGCTCAGACCACGTCAACTTCCTGGTTTTACTCCATTTTTTTACACGCTTACATATGTACTTACACATATACGTATAGGAGGGAGACACATATATACATACATACAAGTTAACGTACCCAATTCCATTGAGCTCTTATACGAGTTGTAAACAATCTTTGGCTTTCCAAAACGAAAACAATTTCAATCTTGGGCCTCCGCCTAATTGATTTCTAAGATGTACAATCTCAAGCGCCCCCGCCGCAATCCCAATCTTTGACACTCGCCTAAATGGAAAACCAATGTTTGCCCACACCCGGCTTCTCATAAACAATCTCACTCCCGGCTTTCTGCAGATCCTGCACTTTAGGCCTTTTACAGTTCTCTCTTTGGATGACGAAATCTAATACTCGGGATGGCGAAATCAATTGAAATGTTTATAGAAAAACGATTCCCGAAAGGGATCAACGATGCAAAGATCAGAAAGTTCAAATCAGTCTTGATCCAGCAGCGACACCGCAAAGTCTAGCTCAATATTAAGATCGCGCAATCCCTTGCCCGGAATTCCTTTGTGACCCTCTACTTAAATCTATATCAGTGAAGTTCGAAGTAAAATAAAAACTTTTTAAAAACACAATCCGCTACCGCTATTGTTTAATTGGCGCCCAACGTGGGGCGACGTTGTCTAAAAAGCACCGAATGATAAAAGTGTTGCGTCGTGCCGAAACCCGAAGGACAATTAATTAATGGAATAAATCCTTCAAAATTAAAAACGCGGAGTGACTGTGTGATATAGATAAAAAAAAGTGAGATAAAAAGGAAACAAACCGGAGCTTAGGGTGTGCAAAAACAAATACAAATACAAATACAAATACAAATACAAATACCAATACAAATACAAATACAACGCAAAATACAAATAAAACAAAAAGCTAATCAAGGCAATTCGTAAATACAAAAAAAACCAAAGAAATCCAAAGTTTTTAAAAAACAAAACCAACAAAACCGACAAAACCAAAATACAAAGAAAGTGAAACGATCAGCGAAGCCAAAGAAGGAAGACCCCCAGAAGACCCAGCTGAGCAAAGAAATTTAAGAAGGAAGACCCGTTCGAAGATCTGCCAAACTAAGAAGGACGACCCCTACCGGATATTTCAAAATGTATGCGAATATACTAATACTGACTTTTGTTATATTGACGACTGCGGAAGTAATTGACTATACGCATAGTGACTATCTATTGCTCAAAGACGACAGAGACGTTTACACTTATGAAACATACGCTGAACTTTTCCATATTACTAATTTGAGTTTTTATAGAGAGATAATTGATAAAGAATCCAAATATGTCAACAAATCAATTAATTCAGACGATGAGTGGGAAATATCAATGGACTTAAGTCTATTAAAATTAATGATTTCAGAATTAGTTCCAAAACGGAAAGAAAGGGGAATAAATGAATTAGGTACCATTTGGAAATGGATAGCAGGCAGCCCTGATCATGACGACTTTTTGAAAATACAAAATAAAGTAAATGAATTAACTGAAAATAATAATAAACAATTTGTAATAAATTCCAAATTTTTCAAAGAAATTGAATTGCTATCAAATTCATTAAAGAATGTCATCTTCAATGAAGAAACGATACTGAGAAAGCATCGTTTAAAATTAATAACTTTTGACCTACTAAATTTAGTTGATACCATAACCCTCTTAAAAGTAAACATTTTCAATACAAAAATTTTAAATAAAAACGAAATAGAGGACATTTATAAGCATGAAAAACATAATGTTGAACTGTCTGATCTGTTGGACATTGCAACGGTTAAAATAATTCGAAATGCAGATTTAATAATCATTTACATAAAATATCCTCAAATTAAAGATATTTGCAAGTTTTACCATGCAAGAGCCATCTCACAAAATGATGGAATGTTAGTTATAAGTGAAAAAGTTTGTGAATGTAAGGAGAAATACTATTTAATGAATAATTTTAAAAGTGAAACTTTTAACAATTACGCACAAATAAATTTAAAGAGTACCTGTTTCACCAATTTACTTAATGGCTTTAAAGCCAACTGCACTAAAAAAAGGGAAAAAAACAAAGAAATAGACATCATTCAGGATGGTGCCATATTAGTTTCAGGCAAAAATATCGTAGACAATACTACTTTGTTAGGATCGTATCTCCTTATATTCAACAACACAATTGTAATAAATAATATAACCCACATAAATGATAAGGGTAAAATTCTAAAATATATATCGCATCATAGATATAGCGATTTTGAATTAGTCGATTATATACAATCGAATGATAAGCAATTTTCTTTTGATAATGTTAATATTTTAAATCCCCTTATAACATTAGGTAATACGGCCTTACCATTAACAACATTATTTTTAATCATTTTGATATTGTTAATGTTATTTTACTTCGGCTATAAATTAACCAAATTTGTACTTATTAAATCAATAAGAATACCGTCAGAAGAAATAGTGGAAAGCAACATTCAAATACTGTCAGAAGAAATTAGAGCTCTATCAGAACTTCAAAATGTATCGGGACGAAACATTTAAGAATGGGGGGAGTTAACGTACCCAATTCCATTGAGCTCTTATACGAGTTGTAAACAATCTTTGGCTTTCCAAAACGAAAACAATTTCAATCTTGGGCCTCCGCCTAATTGATTTCTAAGATGTACAATCTCAAGCGCCCCCGCCGCAATCCCAATCTTTGACACTCGCCTAAATGGAAAACCAATGTTTGCCCACACCCGGCTTCTCATAAACAATCTCACTCCCGGCTTTCTGCAGATCCTGCACTTTAGGCCTTTTACAGTTCTCTCTTTGGATGACGAAATCTAATACTCGGGATGGCGAAATCAATTGAAATGTTTATAGAAAAACGATTCCCGAAAGGGATCAACGATGCAAAGATCAGAAAGTTCAAATCAGTCTTGATCCAGCAGCGACACCGCAAAGTCTAGCTCAATATTAAGATCGCGCAATCCCTTGCCCGGAATTCCTTTGTGACCCTCTACTTAAATCTATATCAGTGAAGTTCGAAGTAAAATAAAAACTTTTTAAAAACACAATCCGCTACCGCTATTGTTTAATTTACATATATCTGAATAGTTGGCCAATTAAAGTTTCAACCTGGAGAAATATTGGGCTTTCGCCACTCACTACATAACTTAGGTAGTCAACCAGCCCAGAGAGGATGGAAAACCTATCACAACTTCAGATAGATGATACAAAGATACATACATATAAAGATCCAGGCAATACTATATAGAGGATGTTATAATAATGTTACGTACAGTTCAAACGATAGTTGAAACAATACTAGTTACGATGTTAGTTGATGTACCACACTTGAACCACTCACACACACCACATACAGCGAGAGACCACACGGACACGCGCATTATACGGGACCCACTTCAGTAGTCGATCGATATATATCACAGAGATCTCACCAGCAGCGGCCAGCTCCAGCTCAAGCTCAAGCTCACCAGCAAACTCACCCCACCTAGGACACTGCTTCCAGGCAGCTAGCGAATGCTACTCCAACTACAATAACTAGCTAACTTTAGAGAGTACAGAGAGTACCCAGAAAATAACATACTACCCACATTAAGATACGGAGACAAAAATATCATATTGAAATGTTAAAAAAAACAAAAAAAAACTGCACTCAAGTCACCTCACGCGAAGCTGGTTCTGCTTTGGCACCTCCTAGGATCGATTGAGATCGGTTATATGCATATAGACAAATACAAATACACTCCAGGAATTATAGTCGTTCGGCTTGAAATACCAAATAGCCAATACCCAACCCTACCCCACCCAGAAGATAGGGGTCTTAACGTGCCCAGCTCTAAGACATATTTGCATACCCAAACACAAGTTATGTATACCATACCATATGACATATATACACCCATATATATATATATATATATAACCGATTTCGGACGTGACCTTCTCGCCCAGCTCGTTCTATTCATATAATACCCATATCCACACTCAGCACTCAAGAAAAATCAAGAGAAAGAGGAACTGCATCCGCATCCAAAGACACGAGAATTGAACTCACGATCAATAACTACTACAGTGTACTCGATACCGATATGCATACGATATAGAATTGAATCTGTAACTGATGGGCATATACCACATATATACATATGTTATATACCGCATATATCTTATATATGTATACCAAAAAATACAATACAAAGTCATTTTGGCAATAATAAAGCATAGCAATCCAAAAGTAAATAGTTTCGAATTTTTCTTCGACTCAACTATACATATAGAGGAATCATACATATGTATATACATACATACATATATAATTTCACCAGGAAATATCACCGAATCTTTGGCCATTATTTCACAATTCGTTCGATTCCTTTTAAACACACAAAAAAAGAAACTGTGACCATTTCACCATAGTATTTGTATCATTGAATGAAATCTTTCTTTGGAAAGCTTTCTCGAAGGAATCTTTCAAGATTCGTTCTCTTACTGTTCTGCCATCAAATCCACAAAGCATTTCACCATGGAATCTTTCTTCATGAATCTTCACACTGAATTCTTTCACAACATGTTAACACTTTTTCAAGAAATCCCTTTTTCTTCATTGGTGGGGGCACTCACCGAACTCGCGCTCGCAATCGATCACATAAGCAGGATTATCCATAGCTCCACAGAAACTCTGTCTTCCTTATTGCAGAGCTAAATGCTATGGACAATGTGACCGACAGACCGCTCGGTCTGCTCACAACTGAGAAACGCAACGACGTTTCAGCTATAAGTACGAGTATGTAAATTAAACAACTGCGGTAGCGGATTGTGTTTTTAAAAAGTTTTTATTTTACTTCGAACTTCACTGATATAGATTTAAGTAGAGGGTCACAAAGGAATTCCGGGCCAAGGGATTGCGCGATCTTAATATTTAGCTAGACTTTGCGGTGTCGCTGCTGGATCAAGACTGCTTTGAACTTTCTGATCTTTGCATCGTTGATCCCTTTCGGGAATCGTTTTTCTATAAACATTTCAATTGATTTCGCCATCCCGAGTATTAGATTTCGTCATCCAAAGAGAGAACTGTAA